CGCCGACTCCGAGTTCAGGCGCATGGGCAAGGCGGTAAGCGGCTTGTGGCTGTTACAGCCCTACGAAACGAGGGAGCTCTATCACAAGGCACAGCAGTAAACGGATCAATGAAAGATTAGGTTCTTCGGCAAGGCGGTAAGCGGCTTGTGGCTGTTACAGTCCTACGAAATGAGGGAGCTTTATCACAAGGCACAGAAATAGACACATCAATGAAATATTAGGTTCTTGGGCAAGGCGGTAAGCGGCTTGTGGCTGTTACAGCCCTACGAAATGAGGGAGCTCTATCACAAGGCACAGAAATAGACGGATTAATGAAAGTTTAGGTTTTTGGGCAAGACTGTAAGTGGGGGCTTGTGGCAGTTACAGCTCTAAGAAATGAGGGAGCTATAACAGCAGCTAAAGAACTAAACGTATCAGTGACGGTTGGAGTGCATGAGCAAATGAGGTGCAAGGAATAGGTTGTAACATTAATCTGTGCTAATAAGTGACGTAACTATAACTGAAATCGGAGACAGAAACGGGTCAATGGCGGTTGAAGCGCTTGGGCAAGAGTGTAATGGACTCTTTTGATGTACTCTTTTTCATTTTTTCTAAAACTACACAAAGGCTACGAAAAAACATTTCTCAAGCCGTTTATGGTTTTTTTCTACACAATATTGACTTTTGTAAACACAAGCGCTTAATTTAGGTGATTAGTGATGAAGTTTCTTAAACACTCAAAATTTTCTGTGAAGATAAGCTCAAAATTCTGTATTTTCTGAAACATTCAAACGACATCTTCTAAAGAATGGTTTAAAAATGTTCAAAGGAAATTTGCATACATAATTATATTTTAAACTTCCGAAATATTCGAAAAAAATTATATCAATTCTACTATTAGGTCATCGAAATATTGAGAAAATGTGAAAAAATCCGGGTTTTCGCCGATAAGTAGCGTGGTGGGATGAGGGGCGTGCAATACCAAAAAACTTTGCCTGGACTAACTAGTGCGAGAAAGTCGATGCCATTCTCTGGCACCACTATTTCAAGTGGACAGACGGTCGAAGTTCCTTCGTTTGGCAGTACGTGATACGTCGCTGTGGCAACAGAAGGAAAATTCACAAACAATCCCTCATTGCCACTCATCTATTTCTAGTCCCTGCTCTAAGGGACATAGAATACTATTTTAACGCCCTTTGGATTGGCTCAGTGATTGTATCCATAGGAGAGTGAAAACCGATTTTGAACACTCACCCCAGCAACCATTTCTGTACTAACGTCCATAAAGTTGAAATGTCTCTGACTACGCCAGTAAAAGCTTCAGCTCAAGCTTAAGTGAAACTTTCTCACGTAAGAAATTCGATTCATGAGCATTTCGATAAGAGAACTCCATTTTTTTCACTGAAATTTCAAACACCATATTTTAAATAAATCCGACCAGTATTTGTTGTTTCTTACACTGTCAATAATTCTCACGAGTAATTAGTCGACTTGTTATTCCGGTCGTCCTCCATATTCGAATGACTTCTCTAATATCTTTGTTCTTTATCTTGATGAGGAGGCAGGCCGAGTAAGGACTCATTCAAGGGCTGACAAAATTATTAAAAATGCCGATTATTCTTTCTGTTTAATGATCAATACTGATATATGCGGTGTATACTGTGTAGAATAATAGTATTTCAATGTAACCACCGTTTCAATTATTTTATTCGTGAGAGCGAGAAAAGGTGAAAATGGAAGACCTAATATGAAAAGTAGATCAGTAGGTTTACTATCTTGGAATTTCATAATGTTTACAAATAAGACACTAACACAAAGATAACCATATTCTAAATCGTAAGTCGAGAGAAATGTTTACACTCAAAGAAATTGAAGGATGCTCTAAGTTTTAGTTCACATCGTATTATAGTGATCTACTGTTGGGTTGGAAACCGTCTAATTAACTCGGTTTTGCTCTCGAAAAAATTGCAATGGAAACAAATGTCACCAATATAACTATACATGAATGGGTGAAAAACAGAAGAGTATAAGCGACATTTTATAAATTTTGAGAAATCATTGTAAATACGTAGTGCTTTGTTTCAGCATTAAAACTACGGTATTTTAATTGTTCATTAAAATTACGAAAATACATTGCCACAAAAATATAGCCTAAAATAAACACTTTTTCTCAGAATTTGTAAAATTTGACTTATACTATTCTGGTTTTCACGCATTCATATAGAAAGTAAAAACCGTATTTCTAAGAAATTTGCTGATTATCCGGTGTTTCTCAGTTACTGATTTATCACAGTCATCTATTGACATATTTACGGAAATGAAATAATTTATGGTTTAAAGCGTCGCCCCTTACAAAATTCTAGTAGAATCATAGCCCACGACCTCCCTCTCTGAACGACTGTAATAATAAGCTTTTAATTAGCTGCAATAATATAAATTACTTTTTTCTCTACAGGTTTTCGAGCCAACTTTGCTGTCGGCAATTCGTCAAGTTGTTGGGACATTCATTCCGCAAATTGGCAACTTAATAAAATTTCCCCCGAAAAACGTGTCGGACTTCTTTCTTCGAGCCGTTAAAGAGACCGTCGACTATCGCGAGAAGAATAATGTCAAGCGTAATGACTTCATGCAACTCCTCATCGAACTCCGCAATAAAGCAGAATTACTCGATGACTACGAAAACACAGAGTTGACAGGCACTCAGAATGGATCTGTAAAAATCAACAACACTCAGAATGGTACATCCAAAGATTCTGACGATTTAGGTATGTATTTAAATTTTGATTTTAACTCACTGATAGCATCATTAGTATTTAGAGGGCTTTCATTAATTATTTTCAATAAAACAATTGCTTCGATGCGAATCAAAGTGTATATTACATTCTTAACTCAATATGAGTTAACATTAATCTTGCGAATATGGGTATTTAAAGATGTTTGACTTTCCAGGAATGTATGTTAAAAATATATGAAAAGTAAGATCGTTCACTTCACAAGTATAATAATTATATTATTTTGAATCCAAATTATGTCACTGATCTTGTCAGAGATCAATGGAAAATTCAGTATCGGATATCTGCAAACTAAACGAAACCAACAAAACCTTTAAGTAAATTTTCATTCTTGACTTTGATAAATTGATGATTCTTGATTAAAATCTACACAAAGCTCCTGAAAGAATTCTCCAACTAATTAATAATTAGGATCATTTGTAAATGTATATCCATTGAATGAAATGAAACTGTCATGCGTACATCAAATTATTAACATTTTCGCGGCCGAACTCTTTCAATATCACTCATTTTTTCCACTTATAATAAATACGAAATCTTCATCTATATTATCACTAAATTCTACGATGTAAACGTTTTCAGAACTGACTGATTCGCTTCTGGCAGCTCAAGCTTTTGTTTTCTTCGTCGCCGGGTACGAAACTTCTGCTACGACCATGGGCTTTGCCCTCCACGAACTCGCTATGAACTTAGATGTACAAGATAAATTGCAGGCAGAGATTGACTCCGTGCTAAGTGAGCACAACGGTGAATTTTCATATGAATCCATTCAGAAGATGAGTTATCTTCACAAAGTTGTCGAAGGTGAGTAAATGTTTATTCTCTTTTGAAAATTTAGTTTTAATTGCTATTCATTTTAAAATACAAACTCCTTTTGTTATTTTATTTATTTCGCTTGGTTATTCTTTGGTTTTGCAGGTTTGGTTTCAATTTTAGATTGTTACAGTACACAGTAAAATACAATGAACGACTCGTACAAAAGATAGTGAGAAGTGTTTTACTACCTTCCTTTCTGAACAACAATAGTGGATGATCAATATTTGAACAGTTCGGATGCGTTGATATTTCGGTAATTTGTTTGTAAGCAACACTGATTATGAACAACGACTTCGAACGATCTACTCCCTTCAGAGATCATCCACTGATAGATTAAATCATGGGGTAGAATTTGTGTAGAGAGAACAAAATATTTTAGAGGAACGTAGTTTATTGCAAAATTAGTCCTAAAATAATCGAAGGATAGTAGTCAAGTATTCACAAAGTTTCATTTGTGTGCACGTGAAGTAAATAGTGTGTTCAGAAAGTGCTTACGTCAGTTTAGAAGTTTTGTATTCATATGCACGTTAGATTTTATCAAAAATTAAATATTTTTATGAATTTTTTCATAAATAGAAATTGTAATTGTTTATTTTATGCTTGTGCTCACCCAGGTTTGGGAAGTGAAAACCAGTACCTATACTCGCCAACGCTAGTTTCTTAACATTTCTCACCACAACTTGTCAAAAAGCAACGTGAATTTGCACTTCTGCAGAGACGCTGAGGAAATACCCGCCGCTGCCCAACCACTTCCGGCGATGCACAGTGCCCTACACCATCCCGGGCACCAAGGTGCGCCTCGAGAAGGGCACGCGCGTCTTCATCCCCATCCTCGGCCTGCAGATGGACCCCGCCTACTTCCCGGACCCGCACAAGTTCGACCCCGAGCGCTTCAGCGAGGAGAACAAGGCCACGCGGCCACGTTTCGCCTATTTGCCCTTTGGGGAGGGGCCGCGCAACTGCATCGGTGAGTGCACAGGGCGAAGTCAAACGGGCACAGGCGGTTAAATTATAACTTGTGTACACCAGCTTTAAGCACTTACTGGAAAGGGCAAGCTAAAATGTGTATTAATCATAAATACATAAAATTATGTTAATACTAACAAAGTTGTTGTTGCAGGAATATATTAATTTTTATTAGTTATATTCGATATTAAATATTAGTGATATTTGATATTTCATTATTTTTTGAGGCTCATAATGTCTTCAAACTGAGGGCCTCGAAAGATATAAGTCTTGTCCTAGAAATGGACGGAAGGCAGCCCAAATAGACGTATTTAGCCAGGTAGTGATCCATAAATAGTTTTTCCGTATTCGAAACATTGAATACCGTAAAAATGTATAGGTTGAATAACTTAAGAGTTTATTGAAGTATAAAACAATTATTCTGAAACCCGTCAACTACAGTGAAGAATCACCGAACGCTCCGTTACAACAAAGAAAATGGCGTATCTGTGGGATTATGAAAACCACCAGATCCAACTTTTTTGTTATTCCTAATAACATATTCAAAAGAAATGACACGCTGTCATATTCTTTATTTTTTATTATTCTATTTGGAAATTCATAATTCTCTTTTAATATTATATTTTTAATGCTTAATAATAATATTTTAATAAATGCTTAAATTAATAATATTTTTTATAATTAATAATTTTTTGGAGGATACAAACAGATAAAAACGTGTTGTATCACAACGCTACCGTATTAAAGGCCGTAACATGGTAACACTGTAACGTCAGACCGCGATGTAACATTGAAACGTCGGAGCCTTCCCTCAACTAACTGAATATCGTGTTCCGACGTTCCAATGTTTTCATGTTGCGGCAATGGGTTCCGTCGTGGAATGGTGTCACTATATGTTGTTATATGTCTGGAACTACCTTGAAAAACAGTACCATTATATTATTTTACTCGACTAATTGTTATTCACCAAATCTCTAGCGCCGTACGCAATACGGTTGCGCTACCATACAGCGTTACACGTCTGCTCCCACTTTAAAAGAACCATCATAATATTACTTCACACACCGATTTGAATGTTGTAACTGTACATTTGGCCAAATTGGCATTACAAATGTGCGAGTAGTCTCATTTGTGGTCCTGCAAGTACAAGGAAAAAATATTTCCCCTGGAAAAATCTCTTTCCTTTTGTACAATACGCTCAAGGAGGTTGGCGATTTTCAAAACTTTATTAGACAACATCTTCATACAGCCAAGAAAAAGTGACACTGGTAGATACGGCATTACTTCCAGGAGTGCATTAAACAGATGTAGAACAAAAAGTTGAATTTTTTAAACTATAAAATCAGCAGACGCAAATGCAATCCGCGACACACGATAATATCGTATATCACTCGAAAACACGGCGTCCTAGACAGTTAGTGAAGTGTTTTTGGATGTACGAGGAAACAGTGCGTTTCTTGGAGATAAATATACAAAAGCTTGGACATTTGCTACATTTTTGAAGGCTAATAGAAACGTAATTTAATTCAAATTTCGGTAGAATGAGCAATTTAATCATACGTGCCAATTAATATTCTTTATTTATCCTGATTCTGTGCTGCCCTACAATGTTCTGAGCTGTTATCCTTTGCAGGCATGCGCTTCGGGCAGCTGCAGACCAAGCTGGGCCTGGCGGTGCTTCTGCACAGCTACCGCTTCACCCCTTGCGACCAAACCCTGCGCCAGGTGAGGTTCGAACCCAAGGCCTTCTTCACCGCCTCCCGCGGAGGCAACTGGCTGCGCCTCACGGCTCGCCACTGAGCGGCCGCTCAGATCTCGTGCTGAACCGGTTGCGAATCAACGCGCAAGGCAAACAATTTTTGCACTGCGATGCTACAGAAATGAGGGACATGAAACTTACACATAAAGTGCTTTGAAGATCTCGAAAGTTGCGTTTGAAGTCTTCTACGTCTGAAAAGCAAAGAAGTGAGAAGTTACTCAAGTTTTCTTACTATAACTTATAGAAGAACGAATCAACACGTAACGTATACGTTCACACGCACTAGTGTAGTGTATTGGTATTATTCCTGTTTCCGTCCTGTAGCCTGCTGAACCATAACTCCGGGCACAACCTCCAGCTTCGTCCTTGAACTCCATTCCCAGTTGACTACCAGGAGGTTTACGAAGTGAAGTATGATCTTCTTCTCCTGAATCACAATCTGCTAAGTTACTATTGGCGTTCTCAGGTGGAAATAAAACGATGCTGTTAGGAGGAGATTTTCTTTCATCATTCTCTAGTTCTTCTAACAATTCGTGCAAGGTTATTGGGGTTGTGAATAAACCATAACGAACTCCAGATGGTAGCTTATATTACTACCGTCCTTTATAAAGAATGCGTCAATTTGTTGCAAATTATAAGTGGTACGTGACAGATTCAACGTAATGTTATGTTTATTCATGTTCTAGTATGACGGACTATAACAATAATTATGAATCCCTTTGGCTTTAATAAGGATTCAATTTTGTCGGGAATGCGTTTTGTGGAGAGTTTTTTTGCATTGTGAACGTGCGTTAGCTCCATCAGATCTCAATCTATATTGAATTCAAGAAGTGTAAGCGTTTTCTGTTCTCCTATTCACTTCTTATTCTTGCTTAACTCCCTTGTCTTCTCCGCTCACCAACACCAATTTGTTATTTTTGCGAAATACTCTTTTGTTGTCGATTAATTAGACCTCTTAACGCGGCAACAGTGACTCTAGAGAGAAGAAGTAACATACTCAAATGTTTCATTTGCACATCTGAGAAGTTGTATTTCACTAATCTATAGTATCAGAAATTTTACACATTCACAATCTAGTCTAAGAAATTACTATTTCGCAAACTAAAGCCGTGTTGTCAAAATTACTTCGTATCTTCAGAATTGAAATTATAATTACGTTGTCTAAAAACATATTTTCTCGTTCTTCCACATTGTTAGAGTTAAAACGGTGTAAGTTTTCTTTATGTCTCAAGCTAATCTGTATACGGTTGCGTGGGTGAAAAAATTAACTTATAACGAAAATATTTAATATATAAATGAACCTTCGTGTATATGTGAAAACGTTTCTGCTAGTTGTTTTTTTTGTTTGTTTGTTTGAATGTTGTTGAATACTATTATATGCAGTGTATTTCTCTAAGAAACATGTACATCTCATAAGTTACTTTGTGTACCTATTGTATTAATTTTTATACGTAAATATATGAAATATCACACACAATTTCATTTCTTGAAGAAATATTTATTCCACTCATCTATTTACAGATGAAATTATCCTATCACTCACCCCTTCAATATTCCTTAAAAATGAATTTCACAACAAAGGGATGCAAATATTGAATAATGCAACAATGACTCGTAAGCCTTAACAATATTAAATGGCCTAAACAGATTGAATCTTATACCAACGATCTATACAATTAGTTTGTAGATCTCTGGCGAAAAAGGTAAAAACAGTTCTGGCTGTAAAAGAACAATCAACCAAATGCAACGATTTACCATAACCATTGGTTTAACCTTCGTCTTTTTGGGGTATTATATACTATTATTTTTTATTTTAAAATGTTTTGATTTTCAGAAATTCATTTCTTTTAAACATTACTTTAATGTCGCATTAAGATTGGTTCATCATTAATTTTTCAAATGAGTGGTAATTCTCTAACGACCTTCGTATTGTAACCTTTTACCTATCTGTGGTTGACAGATACGAACGCTGCATTCAAATCGCGCGGGCAGTGCCCTCTGCAAGAGGTTGGGAACCCCTATTTATATATATTCTTAGGTAATTCAATTGTAGTGTCAGATCCGACTCACGCGGCAGCATGAGCAAAGGAAGGAGAAGGCTTTGAGACGCAAGAGGGGGAGGCCGAAAAAGTGTGCTATTGGGGAGTGGTGGTGAAGAAGAGAAACGGACACTGAAGCTGCTGCGCCTAGGTGTACGGGCGTCCATACACTACATTGCGGTATAAGAACTTGGATCTGCGCGGAGACATATTCGGCGCCACCAGCCCACTGACCGTCGCAAGCTTCGCGCCGTTGGGTGGGACAAGGCCCCGAGAAGAGGTCAGTAATAATCATCTTTCCTATTTTTTTCTCTTTACCTTTGGCTACTAACTTGCCAGGACTACGAGAAGCATCAAGTATACCCAGTTCGCTAAGATGTAGGACGCCCTTGACAGTATTTTCGAAGTATCCCAAGTCACCCCTTGAACAATTATGTACAGTGGTTGCGTGTCATGACATCCTCCAGAGTAAATAGCGGTCATTAGATCCTGCATAAGTAAAAAGTGTTTCCAATGAGTTTTCAGAAAGCAATGGTACTTGAGGTTTACAAACTGTGCTGGATGTTCCCTTTATATTGTTTTCAAAGTGTTAAAAATTGTATCATTGTATTTGAATTTGTTAATTTGTCAATTGTGTTTCAATACAAACTGTACAAAGGGTAATATTTGTTTTGTTGTTTAAGAATGTGTGTATTTGGGTTTGTAAATTTTCTTGATACATACTTCCTTTTCTAAGACGAAAAAAATACCGATCCTGTATATTAAAAAAACTTTCGTGTTTTTTTTCTTTTGACTGTTGTTTATGAACAGGTCACAGTTGTGAACTTCTAGGACTGCTTACTTTACACGTAAAGTAAACAAAGTTGGAAATAGTTTAAGTAATATAGATGTTTTTAGAAATCTCCGGTATTTTGTAATTTATTCGTTAATTTAATCTTGTTCGTGAAGTTGTTTATTTGTTTATTTCTTTTTCCTCTACTTTTTTAGAATTTTTTATTTTATTTTGCATCAATAGTGTCCCCTACGTTTCAAATCTTTCGACATTGTTAATTGGATCTCTGGTGAGGTAGATACCTTTTTATTATGATAAATAAATAAAGATATTGTCTGGTATTAATACGTTTTATTCAGCTTATGATCGTTTCGATCGCGTAGCGGTCATCCTCAGAGCTTGCAGCTTCTGGGCCGAAAACAAAGTTCTCTCAAAGAACTTTGTTTTCGGCCCAGAAACTGCAAGCTCCGAGGATGATCGCTACGCGATTGAAACGATCATAAGCTGAATAAAAAGTATCGATACCAGACAATATCTTTATTTATTTATCATTTCGACATTGTATTTCGAAACGTCTTACTTCGACCGCACCAGTCATACTATCTTGATAGTATAAACCATAAATCGGGCTTCTCCAACTTTTTTCACCTGAGGACAATTTGTTTAAATCGGCACGGACTTGGAAAATTATCCCTTAAAATGAATAAACAACTTTACAAATAATTATTTCTTAGCAACAGAAATGTAATATCAGAATATATTTCTATAATAAATCATTTTAAAGATAAATATCATAAAATTGGCCAATTTAAATACAATATATCTAGACTGTAGATAAAATGGGTAGAGTTTGATACTTAATACGTAAAACAGATATTAATCTGAACATTAACATCGAAATTAACATGAATCTTAAAAGTGCTAGTTAGTCAATATTTATTAAGAATGAGATTAAATTTTGATATTATGAAGCAATCTTGACTTCGTGCTCCTATAACAATTGTACAATATGTATATTGTACATTTCTCGTCTTGAGCACATTTTCATATTTCGCATTGCTTTAGTTTTGTCATTAACGTTCAAAATGTTTTGATCATGTTTCATAATGTTTGCGTTCACTATGACTTTTCTTCAACTGCATTTGTATTTTGGAACGTTGGTGTGAAAATTGTGTGATTCGTTATGATGTTCAGAAGTAAATAGTAAAGAAAATGCTTGTTTTAATACTGAGAATTCCTTGTATTATCCAAGTATGGCCTTTCCGTGGAATCTCTCATTTTCTCTTTTTAAGAGGAAAGGCATTTGTAAAAAAGGGATGAACGCTTTGAAAAAATATATTTGTCTTCTGCATCAGCAGCATTGTAAACTGCGACCCAAGTTTCCTGCTACATGTGGTTCAGAAATAATTTTATTGTACATTCAGTAAATAATCTATGCATACTCATCAGAGTTGTAGCTCTAGTCATGAGCGCCCAGCGCAAGATTTAAATTTGGCGCCCCCTAGACGAAAAAGAAATATTACAAAAACTTTTCATTATAAGATATTTAAGTTATGTATATATTTAAGCATAAAAAGAGTTCCTACTTTCTATTATGTATGAAGGGAAACAATACAATAAGAGTTCGTTCACTTAGGCACTATATTGTCTCATAAAAGTTTACTGTTATGGCTTTTTCTAAGGCCTATTTGTCAGTAATACGGCCTGCATTAACAATGTTTGGAGGGTTTGTCAATCCACAGTATAGACAGTATAGCGAGATTACTCAAACGTTCTTGACCAATCTGCTACCGTTAAGCGGATTTCTGCGGATTTCTCCAGTTTTTTAGTGAAGGTTTCGTGTTACTAAAGTCCTTGTAAGGAAACCAAAATCAGAAGCTACGGAAGCTAAACTTCGAAATAATCAACCCATATGCTGGATCAGTGTCTAGGGCACAGTAAAGCGGAGTTTTAATCTTTGAAAGTGGAGTCACTATGGTCGCATTATCCTTGGCCCTTTCGTCGAACATTCTTCTTTTTACCTTTCATTTATGCTTTTCAGAAAATTCCTGTTATGAAAACATAGATTTTTTGTTGGCTTATTACACAGGTCTATTTGATTTTTTTCTGTAATCAAAAAATCCACTAAGCCCTGCGAGTGTTTTGATGCAACCTGATCAGAAACGATTTTTCTCTGTAAAATGTAATTAACGTCAATACTTCTAAAAGTTTCTGCCGACTTCTTTATTCTGATTTAAATTAAATTTTATAAATTAAAAATTTTAATAGTTTGTATTATTAAATATTATCTATCTTCATAGATTTGTGACAAAAATTTAAATAACGGTCATGAATTGTTTTTCATCTTTTATTCAGGGTTTGGTACAAATTTTGAATGTTAACTTAGGGACGTCGTTCCTAATCTGTGTGGACGCTTATCGTAATCCAGTGCAAGGTTTTTTATGTGAATTAGCATCATGTTTAAATTTTGCGTTTGAATTGTTGCGGTATAGATTGTCAAAGGATGTAACTGGATTCTTTATGGCATTGATACGTTCATGTACTGTAATATTTAAGTGTGTGTGCCTGTGCCCCAGCGGCCCAGAGGCTGTGGGTTTGCAAAGTGCGCCCCTTCTGAGCCGCCACCCACCTTACCAGCCCATGCCTAGCCACGACGCTGCTCATACCTGAATTGTTTAATTTCAGTGTTCAGATTTCTTGTAATTGTCAGAATCTTTGCATCATGGTTCCTTTTATCTAACCCATTCGTTACTATTCAATATCTAGTAGCGTTATTTAAGTATATTATGATATATTTCTTTCTTTATTTATTTTATTTTAGAAAGCTGTACATCTTCGTGGTCATAAGCGATCACACTCTGATTTACAATTTTTCATTCCAAGAAAATTTTAAGAACATTTTAAGAAATTTTTTATTACTTTTCATATCATTGTCTATTAACAATTTAAAACATTCAATATTAAATACAGTTAATATTGCAAGAGTTGAAATATTTTTAACAATAAAAGAAATACTATATATCAAATCTATCTAATTTTGTAACACATAGAAATTCTATAATTTTGTGACACTGCAAAGAAGAATTTAATATAGAATGAATATCTGTATCAAATTTGACTTTTTCCTGATATCCCTCGTGACAGGAAATGGGAACTAGTAAATGGATGTAGAAATAATGTCACCACAATTTGGACACTGATCTGGATTTGTATTTTTAAATAAATAACAGTGACTGAAATTAAAATGGTCAGTTCGGAGTCTTGTTAAAATTACTTGATGTTTTCTTGTGAACTTGGAGAGAACAGGAGGATCCAGTATTTAATTTCTAACTTGACGTAATTTTGAACATTTTGTTTTCCATTTCAAATCCAATAGCCTTAATGTTGTTTACAGAAGTATTTTTTTAAGTTATCAAGTCACGGAGATTTTGAAAAAAGGAAGTTTGGAAGCCTTTTTTGCTGATTATTCCGCATCTTCATATCCCATAATTCCTCGGTGGGAAGGGATACATGAAAGAGTGACATTACAGTTATTTTTGGGACAGGGATATAATACGTTCTTGGATTTCTTGAATAAAAGGATTGTTTCTTTTATTTGACTGTATTCCATGTAAGTGCATTAACTGTACATATCTAAATTTA